CGGCGCTAGTTCGCAATTAATTTATTTTTCCCTAGTCGGCCGTTAATTGTTAAACTTAGATGGGCGGTCGTCGGCAATCCCGCAGCTAGACTTCCAGACGGAAGAAAAGAGAGGAGACGCGTCGCGGGACCAAGGAGCGCAAGGAACCGACAGCTTGAAAGGAAAGAGAAGAAGCTAGATATTGGAGCAGGAGGGAACGATGACGATCGACGAAGAAGGAGACGACCGACAACTCAGCTTGGGAGGGTAGAAAATTTGTTAGACAGGGTGCGGACTGGGACGAGAGAATCGAGAATTTGAGGAGGGAATGGAGGCAAGAAGCCAAGGCGCGACACGAACACCGGATTGGGTTACCGGGATAATTAGAATGATGATTAGGAGCGGAGTACGCCTCGTTGACCAATTCTTTCTGGCGCCCTTCATCCGGACGATGTTGCCTTCGAAAGATCAGCTTTCTTACAAAGGGTCACCGGAACTGAATGGGGTGAAAGAGTAAATAACGGGACGATTATCGAGTCGACGATAAAAACAACATCCACAGCGTGTCTATGTTATAGCGGAGGACTTCTCTGCATTTGCAACTAAGAAAAGAAATATCGAATTAGTGGCACATCATAGACGAGTTACGTGAGAAATTGGGCTTTTTTCAAAGCATGAACACAACAGCTGTATGGGGAGGCTAAACAGCAGGATGATTATCAAAGTCAGGATGAGTTACAAAGAAGGAGAAACGTTGAAACACATCGAATCGGTGGATGGAGTGTGTTCAAAGAACGAGCCTTTTTCGAAGAATAGATGAGTTGAAGAAGTAAAGAACAGAACAATGATCGAGTTGACGATAAAACAACATTCTAAAAATGTTCCTGTTGTAATAGAAAATATTCTGTACTATGAATTACGAAAAAAAGAAGGTTGAAACTGACCGGATTTATGACACATCATGGATGATCCGTCAGGAATTCAGATATTTTCAAAAGTAACCTCGTCATCTCCTTTACAATGGAACACTTTATCCACTTACTCGAATGATATACAAAGAAGGGGAAAAAACGCTGAAACTGACCAAATTCGTGGCACATCGCGGGCAACTATCAAGACGATTGGTGAAATCGCTATTGTCAAGCTTGGACGGCGGACGTTACAACACCCCAGTGACACATTTTTATGCGCCTCAGCGTGATTGGTCGTTCGAGTTGAACCCCCGTGAGATCACTTGACTGAATACGGGTAACCGTCGTAAAAAAAGAAAGGCTAAGACATATGGCATAGACCGGAATGTTTGGATTTCTGAATTCGGTGATTCGTAAGCAGCGCGAAGGTTTTCGAAAGGAAAAAGGATATGAGAGATGGTCAATCTCGATTTTGCTGCTTCTTGTTTTCTCGGTTACGTTCTCCATACTCCACGCTGCTTAGCTCCATCCGCGTTGAAGTAGACGTGAATATTTGATCGGCCCTTCAACCTTCGCCTCCTTCGCCCTCCCACAAGCTTCGCCTCTTACCTAACCCTCAGTCCCAGCTGCGGTGAATTATTTAACGCCCCCAGGGATACCAGTTACCAACGTATATCTATGTGTCAGTCAGATTCTCAAACTCTTTTGTTCGTACGCTATTGTTCGTATGCGTAACCGATTACGTAATGGTCAATACTAATTACTGCCGTGGACTTTTCTTAAGGTTCATGGTCGTGGAAATTATGGTCGATTTTCGAATTAATTATTTTTAGCGAATTGCCAATTTCAATTGATAAAACGTAGCAATGATAAAATTGTAAAATATTCTTCCTTGATATTATAAAAAGATAGGAGAAGATTGAAAAGAAGGAAGATGAAAATTTTTCTGTCAAAGTACATGTTCCTTCAGAGTTTTCTATTCATTTGCTTTCACGCGAATGAATATGCGGTAGCGCAAGTTTGAAATGTTTAATGGTCATTCGTTTGCAATTGAATTAGATTGCAGAGAAGAAAACAGAGGGACAGTGTACAGCGACCCACTTGGAGATGTTTGGAAACCTGTGAAGAAACTACGATCGGTAAACTATTTATCAATTACCGATTGCAGTGTTGATAGATAACGATTTAAAAATCAAGTTACGTTCATATACTGCAACATTATTACACTCATCAATTTATAGTAGAGTATTAAAATTAAAATACTAATAACTTAATTACATTTACGAGTTCAACTTTTGTTACATTTCCTACCTTACCGAGCAACTCGCTTCTTTATCTTCCTTACTCTTATCTAAAAAACAATAAATGGTATATTTTATGGTATATGTTGGTATGATATAAAAAGAACAAATTATGTTAAAGTGAAGCAATAATCAAGGTTAAAGTACTTCTGAAATCTCATTGTATGAGTTACCAAGGAAATGTATCAGCCAAAAAGATGATTCAATAAGATTTAATTTCAAATTTTAATTACAAAATTTACTAGTAGGGTGTGCTTGATTCTATAACGATTCATGTTCTATCTCTCTGCTTTTACCACTACTTAAGGAATCGATAATCTTGTATACAATAAATCATTACATGTCACATCTATTTTGTATTTTGGTTGTGATAGAACTAAAGAAATTTCATATTCGATGATACGAAGAAAGATATTTTGTTATTTCCTCTACGGCTTGAAGGATTAAACCTAAAATTTATGCGCAATGTGATACCATAATCACTAGGTTAGAAAATAAAGTTTATCAATATAACACTTTTATAAATGAAGTTCATCTCCTAAAATTTTCAATATACATAAATACTAAAATTTATCGACATTGATAATTAACTACCATCCAGTCTAACAGCAGAATAAAATTGACTTCTACAGCCCGGTTTATCATCTTCGTTTCGTTATCTCAGTTTGCACGAACAACAGAACGCATAAAAGCAGAACTGCGTTTAATTAGTATGTTATCTTTGATCAGATAAGGTGATTTAAATTTTACCTGCGTGGCAAGTAACAAGTGGCAAATGAGTTTAGTCGTCATTTACTGTGCCTAATACGGAAACGCGAAAATGGCGGAAGGCTCCGAACTGCTGTATTTCGATCTTAGACTAGTTCACGACCATTTTGACCGAGCACTCTTACAAGACGACGATATTGACCTCAGAGCCTATTTGGATGCCTACAATGAACTTTACAAGTAAGGTGGCAAGAGATTGTGTTTTCTATTAACTATAACCTATAATCAGCTGGAAGTAAACTTTGCATCTAATTAATAGTCATTCATAACTTTCTCCTAAGTCTGAATTATTGTCGTAATGTCAATGACATGCGTAATGTCTACAATTCGTGTAATATCTTTTATTGATCTAAATTTACAAATCCCTGTCATTAAATACTTCTTACCATCTGTTTTCATTTGAGAATGACATATGTGTAATGTTATTTCTTGTTTGCAGATTTTTCCAATTGATGGGCAGTGTTTTTGGCTTTGTATCCTCTGACTTGAAGGAAAAGATCCAGGTATTGAATGATTTAATGAACAAAGATGACCGGAATTATACCACGATAAAATCTATGATAGAATATGAGAAAGAAAACAAGATTCTGGACAAAGGAGATCACTCAAATGGTGCTCGTACGCTGTTGAGACTTCATAGAGGATTAGGTATTACAATGTATGAAAGTTTCTCTGCAAGGATGTATTGTGTTCTATTCACTAATATCTTCCGAATTTGTAGATTTTATTAGAGAGTTTTTAAGACAATTGGGAGAATTGTCGGACAGTGATAAGACATCCAGCTGTTGCCAGGATGCTTACAATAAAACATTAGCTAAGCACCATCCATGGGTAGTCAGAAAGGCAGCGGTGGTTGCCATGTATACAATGCCTACCAGAGAATTATTATTCAGAAAGGTATTTATGTTTTTATATAAAAATAATAGACCTTTCTGGATTTTAATCATTCTTTTCATATCTCTTTTTTAGGTCTGTGGTACAGACGTTCAAAGAAACGTCGATGTTTTGCCAAAAATGTTGGAGGTAACCACTGATGTATTCAATCGAACACACAATCTCTACGATGTCCATCAACTTCACAGTCTACCATAAAAATGCATTTAGGATACGTATAATAATGCACCCACTTCTTGTTGTTCGAGAAAGTACACAACACAAACATTCCACATCCAAGATGTGATACATTGCCAATCCCATACATTGAATAGCACCTATATCGATGTCTTTTGTGATATTTCTTTACTTATTATTATATACGATCGCATTTATGATCACCGAAAATGTACAAAATGCACTAGCTTAGGTTTCCATGTTACTCGTACTTTTTTCAAAACTTACTTAGAGTGATTTAAAGAACTCGATGTAGCCGGGAGTTATTTGTCGATTTTAATATTTATGTTATAATATAATATTGTGCAATAATATCAGTTAAGTCTGTCGAGGAAACTAAGTCTTCCTTATTGACCTACCTATTTACAATAATATTTTACAAAACGGTAAACTAATGGCGTTTTCTGATAATTGGGTAATCAATAGATATTGTGGTGATCATTGGACTGTCAGTCACGGTCCATGGCAATATGATCACTCATTGTTAGTAATAGTCATCGGATATCAGCATTCCTGAAAATGAAAGTTCATCAGCAGAGAAAATCTTAACTGGAAAATGATCTTCCAAATCTTACCAGCAATGCTGGCAGTGATGAAACAGATAATGCTGCCACCCACGAATGCTCTCATGACAGCATTGGCCACAGATTCCTTCTTATCAGGAGCTAGAGAATTCATCATGCTCATGGTGATTCCCACTGAGCTAGGATTCGCAAATCCACAAATCGCAAAAGTAGCTATGGCCTCGGTTCTACCAAAAATTCGACCTTGTTCCTTATACTTTCCTAGAGTTTCGTAGGCCACAAACTCGTTAACCACAGTCTTCAGACCTATGAGAGTAGCCACGTCGTCACATTGATCCCATGGCACTCCCATGATCCAACTGAGTGGCATGAATACTTTCGATAGGATCAACTAGAAAAGAATGACCTTTCAACAAAACAGAAAGAATGAAATTATTCTGAGTATTTTAACGTTTCCTCACTTCCAAGCTCAATTCTTCGTAACCAACCAATGACCCTATCCAAGAGAGCAGAGAGTTGACCAACGCCATAAAGGACACGAACGCGACGATGTTAGCGATTATGCCTAAAATCAGAGGAATCGCTGCCACAGCTCCTTTGCTCGCAGCATCGACTAAACTAGAGTCCTTCCTAAAACAAATTTTCTATGATAAATAACATTTCGTTGAAGTACTATCACCGTAGTACGCTATATTGCAAAGAAACTCACGATTTTTCTAATTTAACATTATGGGAAGTGACTATGACCTTTTCGGTTTCCGGGTAAAATAACTTGGAGTAACAGAGAGTTCCTGGTGCTGCCATCAAAGTGGAGGTTATCAGATGAGCAGGATTTGCACCAAACTTTATGTACGCGGCGAAAACGGTTCCTAAAAATTATAATTAGCATCTTCTCGATAAAGGGAAATAATCGAACATTTTGTTTAGTCACCTGACACCGTGGCAAAACCCGAACACATAATGGTGTGCAATTCCGAGGTAGTCAGTTTGTTCAAATAAGGTTTGATCATTAACGGTGATTCCGTCTGAAAATAAATATACAGTCACAATATCCAAAAAAAATACCGGTTTCTACCTTCATACCATTCCAAGAAAAATGTTTCCAGCACATGTTACTGATTCGCAAATCGAAGTTCCCACGACACTCTGTAATATTCTACCTAAATTGAAAATGAACCATTGCATGGTACCTAAATAGTAGAAAATCTGGATGAAGAAGCTGAAGTAAAAAATCACAGGCAGCACCTGAAGTATAAAGTATTTTAGTTAGCGAGGATAATTTATTTTGTGGGCTAAAAGAGGGAATTCACTGACGCTGAAAGCGAAGACACCATCGGTGACTAATTTGTCGGAGTAAATGAAGCTTGCACCGCTCTTGGCGAAGTTCAAGAACCCCTCTACTTTGTTAGCGAGGCATTGGAAAATAGATCGACCCAAGGGCCATCGAATTAAGAAGAGACCAAAGAGAAATTGTAGAATCAATCCAGACAAAACTGGTCTCCATTTGACCTGAATTTGTAAAGATAATAAATATCAATTCTTGGTCAAACTTTTCCGATTTTTATGTAATATAGAACATGTAATGTTAAGCGTTTGTTTTAATAGCGGCGAGCATATAAATGGGAAGGGTTCTTATACGAACTATCATATTTTATAATTAGATTGCGAATTTCTCTGCAAATTCATACCTTTATGAATACAAATAAAGAATCGGAAGCTAAATAAAAATTTGTTTCACCTATCAGATACTATAATGAATACTTTACTTGGAATGTTTCGTACGTTTTTGCATTTCATGTGCATTCTATGTATGGTTACACATTTACATATTCTTTAAATACATATCTACACCATTACAATATTGTTATTATTTAAGATAAAGAGCCATTCTATATTTAAAGCGCTTTAGAATATGAAAAGCGTACTTTTAAATCCTACATTACAGGGAAAAGATAAAAATGGAACTTAGAAATAAGTATCCTATTTATACGCTCGTCATTGTATCTCAAGATATCCGTTCGATAATCTACTCAGAGTGAAAGTAAAATAAAATTTGATGAAAAATTTCGGTAGTATATCGAATCGATAGTGTGTGTATTAAATTGTAATTTTGTAATATCTGACATGCGATTTACTCACGCGACCAGGATGTTTTGAGAATATGTATCCGATAGCGAGCAATATAATGATCCCAAGTCCACTCCTTAATCTCTCCCTCGAATTAGCAGTGTCAATAATGAGAAATACTATGATTCCAATTAAGAAACAGGCATAAAGTACCGTCTGAATAATAATGCTTCCATATCTACCAAAAATAGAAATTGAACATTCGGTATAATCAACTGAATCATTGATAACATCGCCGATCATGCATTTATTAAATCGAGTAGATTTTTACCTTGTTTTGTTGAGATTTTTGACGACGTTGTTGAATGGTCGGCAACAATATCCGAGAATTAAGTGCCCTAAGTAATGATAAAAAAGTCCGCCATAAGTGATCGCTAATAAGATGATTAGCAGTCCGTAACCATCGCACCAATTGAAGTAATTCTCGTCATCTGATAAAAGTCTGGATTAAATAAAAATAACGAAATAATCAAATTTTCAGAATCGTGATTACTCACTGTTTTTTTTCCAGTATAATGTGGCAGAAACAAGATAAATTACTACCACAGCATTTACTATAATCAAATACAGACACTTGAACAGTAGCTGATGTTTTGAATAAAAATTGTTCAAGGCATCGTGTCCTGCACGCAAATAACCAGACGAATTTTCTGCCATTTCCTGAAAAAGGAAACAGAAGTTGAAAATATAAGTCTATTTTATAGTCAAAGCGATAACGAAAATAATATTGCGCTAAATATGAATATAAAAAATTCTGCACAGTTTTCGCTAGTACTCTAGATAACGAGAAACATGACTATCATTGATAAATACTTGACGAAACTTTTATGTAATAATTTATCTCACTGAACAATAGCATTCTTTTAACAATCTTTTATCATTGTCATTACAAACGAAGAGACACAAGCGCGCCGCATACCACGTTTCTTGTCATTTCCTCGCTTGTCAGATGTTCAATCTCGAATGTGTTAAACTCGTTACTCTGTAAAAACAGAGAAACTTGCTAAAAATAATCGCTTGAGGAATACTAATCACTCTCAGTTGAAATCTTGACGCAATAGAATATTTTATATAATACGGAAATAACGTTTTACGATAATACTTTTCAGAAATTAACTAATTAAAGTAAGAGGAAATATTTTTAGGGAAAAAATTATAGAGAATAATAGGAAGTTGTATAGAAGAAATGAAGTATAAAATATCTGAAATACTCGAAATGATTGAACAGAATAAACTAAATATAAAATACCTCAAACCCGGGATTTAGGGTCCCAGACATATTTCCAACAGAAATGTGCTCTCTTTGTCAGGCGCAGTTTGTTACTAACTAACTGACATAAAGATAACTAACGCATTGTGATCGAGAAAAAAAGGCAATTATTTCTGCAGAAGCAGGGTTACCTTACTCGTACGAGTAACTGATAAGTGGTACAATAATTGCTTATTTCGATACCAGATAACTCTGATAAGAGTAAGTCCACTAATTGCCGAATTTCGCACAACACATGGTTTAATTTTCAAAAAATAACTTTTACCCAAACACAAAAAAGAAAAAAAATATATATATAAGAAAAAGAAGAGTAAACTGTTCTTTTTATCAACACTAATTATACCGATCAAATTATATCACGTATTCGATCACAATCTTTACGATAGGTAACGCACAAATTTGATAATAATTGAATGTAAAATTATAGAACGTTAAGTAAGCAAAAGTTCTTAGTCACGATCCGTCTTGGACAAAGAAAAGAATTCTACTATACTGACGCTCGACGGATCAGAAATGCTACGGCATCGATATCTTCGGACGCGTGCACTCAGATAAGCCTCTTGTATCACTGAAGATGATATGACTATTAATCATTACCATCAATGGATAGTAGGGGAAACAATGAATTTCGAGTACAAGATTTTACAATTGACCTCGTTTCATACGATCGGCCTCGTGTCGCGTAGGGGACACGGGTTAAGCGCACTAATTATCGTAGATTTCCACCTGCAGCGCGATAAGACAATGGAGTATTACGCTTATCGTACATGTTGTTACGTTATATGTTATATATTATACATGCTTGTTAAAATTGACTACCGATACATAGTCCATCATTGTAGCCGAAGCAATTTTTGAATCATTTTTATTTTTCATTTTTAACCGTAATAGATTCAAAAATAAAATAAAATTACGCTATAGAGCCACACGATACTATTACCGTCGAGTTTGATCTGTGAAAAGTGATCTGTAGGAAACGTTAATCTTGTTTATTTTGTAAAATAGATTTCTTTCAACTTGAATTTTTTTTAATGGATATGAGTTTTCAGTAGTCTGTTAATTCGACAGACTATGAATTCTCTCTCGATGGCTCGAAAATTACCTAAACGAGAGAATACCTCGAAGCGAATTTCTTCCGACAGCCACGAATTTTCGGTGGTTCGAAAATTACCTGCGCAATAACAGAAAAGGGCGACAATCCTGAGGAGTCGATTCGAATGCCTCGTTCATCCAGCGAGCCCTACGAGCCCTGAATTCGAAAAGAACCCGTGAATTTCGAGGAGACAGGGCAATTGTATCGGCGACAGGTCGAAAAAAATTCCTGGCTCTTTTTCACACGAGTCTGGTACGTAGCTGTCGGTCACGTGACGACGCGTCGTTGTAACGGATCGTGGGTGAAGGCGGACGCGAAACGCAATTTAACAGGGTGAACGTCGCGACGGCTGTCGATACTTTCTCTTGCGTGGTCCATCAAAATTCTTCCGCCGTGTTTAGCCACGCACAAGTCGTTGGCGGCCTCCGCGTGCACCAGCAAACCGGAAAACCGTGCTCGTAATCGACGATATCTGCTCGCAATTCAGATTTCAGGCGAGAATCACGAGGATCATGACGATTCTACGACATTCCGTGTAATGACTGACCGGGAGGAAATTGCGAGACGCGCTTCCTAGACGATAAAAATAATTATCGTGCGCGAGAAGTATTGCGTTAATCGTACGGCGTATACCTTGAAAAAGGAAATCACCTTCGCCGTAATCACCTAATGACGGACGCGCGAATAATTGAGAAGGAATTAGGGGAATTCACTGCGAGTTACGTCGACTTCAAGAATCGTTCTTGAGATTTTGCGTTCTTTGAGGGTACAAGGTAATGCGATCGTTGGACAATAGCGAATTTCTGAGAAACATCTTAAAATCCTATATTAACTTTAGAATTATCAGAGTTTATAAAGTTATCAATTCGTAATTTTTTATAGAAATTTTACAGATTTACAATGATGCATTTTTCGTAATTTCAATGATTTTCTACCTTTGTATTTGATCACGGAGCTGAAATATGCGTCTTCCTCATAAACTTTAAAAATATTGTTCTCCGTAATATTGAAATATCGTTTGTGTTAATAACAATAATGATTATAATTATCAATTATTTTCAAAAGACTTACATCCTTGTACGCAGCAGCTTCTATCAGTTTTCAATTATGTCGTATTAAAATTCTTCTATTTAACCAGAAGGCTATATTAGGATTAGAAATTCAACAAGAAGAATATTATATTTTCTCTTGTGATCTTCATATATTTTTTACATAACTTCTAATACTAAAATTAAAGTATTATGTAATTGTGGAAAATTACAACAGTAATTTGCAAATACCTTCAAAGAATAATATTGTTTCTTTAATTGCTCACTAATCTATGTAAAATTTGAAAAACACGGGTATTACGGAACTGCAGCGCATTAAATATTCACTCGCGCAAACAAACGCTTTATCGGCGACCTCCGAGAGGATTGCAAGTATGTTGCCACTAGATAATTAGTCACTCCTGCACGCTGAAGCTTTCACCCATTTATTTAGGGAAAGGTTACGATGAATGTGTCGCCTGGAGCGTAAGTCGGAATGCCATCGATTTCAATCGTCCCTTTTTTCTTTGCCTGAGATTTCGATCAAATTATATAACGAGGCTTATTTGTCCGCGTACCCGAATAATGGGAGAGGCGGATTTCTTAAGCGCACGTGGACCGATCGAAGGTCTTTCCAGAAAAAAAAGATCGGTTCACGAATAATATAACTTCGAAAACCTTCAGAATTGATTTCAAATGCGATTTCAGATCGATTCGCAAGAAGACAGGAATATGCTAAAGAAAGCCCTTCGTTGACAAAAAAAATCCAATTACTCAAGATCTAAGTGGTCTGTTAATCACGGCTATTTGTTAACACTAGAACTACCAATTAAAATGATTGGTATCAAATTTTTTCTTTTCTTTTTTTTCTTCTTTTCTTTTTCTTTTTCTTTTTTATTGAAAATTATTGTAATGTAATTTTTACTTTCATCGAAGCAGAAATATGACTACGTATATGTACTTATTTATTTAGTTCTAATTAGCTATATGTAACATACTTTGGATGCATGGTAAAGATCAGTAGTTCTAGTTTAATTAGTCTAATCGCGCAAAATGGTGCACGTTGTTTCATCTCTATATAAAATAAATTGTATCATGCTTATGAATAATTAAATTATATATATATATCGTACTAACATACTTTGGAAGAATTAAAATCAAACTACCTGAAACTGATTTGTTTTCGCGAATTTTTAATTTCACGATTATAGGAAGTGATTAACAAATTAATTCGGCGGAGCAAAGATTAAGACGAAGTGGATCAGGAAGATGAGTCGCCTCTTATCTATCCGAGACGTGACGGGAGACGAGACAGGAACACGAGTCACGTACAAATTTTTGTAGGAAACCAGGCCCGCATGTTTTTCATGCGCTATCTGACACCCTAACTGCGAAGAACTTGATTTCCTAGACAGTCTAGGTCTAGGTAGACAGTGCTTATACAGCGACTGTGATGCGTCGTAAGAAGTGGAAGTTAAAAAACAGAGATAAACAGTCCTTGATCAACGTCTACAAGAAGAATTTCTTCTTGATCGATCGTTTCATCGATCAAACAAACAACGTACGTCCATTCTGTTAGGTCATTCTCCTGGTATCTGAGTCATTTTTAAGCCATTTATTTTCTGAAGGACATTTTTATTTGAATAAAATTTTATGATGTTCAATGCATGCCCTTGACAATCTACTCGGAGAAAAGAAATTCGAAGGGAAAGTAAAAATTCAAGAAACACGAGGGATGAAGCGAAGCATCAATAACAAATTGATAAGATATTTGTAAAGTTTGCGACCCCTTGTTGAGCAAAAGAAGATCATTGCCCTTCTTAACTAAAATGTCCCATCTACTATATCGACATTGAAGAAAACGAAAGTTTTATACCATCTTTGTTTTTCTTTGTTCGATTAAAAATATCGAACCTGTATACCTTCTGACGTTCCTTAAAGGTGCAAAACGCAGGGAGCTTCAAATATTTCAACATATCTTGAAAAATGAGAAGATGCTAAATTTCAGCTAAGGAAAACAAATCAGTTCGTAGGTATTTTAGAGAAAGGAGGCGCGAGTTACTACAGACATAATTAAATTACTGTTTAAAGTAAGAATAGAGATCGGATTCAGGACGATCTAAGAATTTCCTCCAAGCATTAGTTTTTCCTTAATCGTTCGATAAATCCCCGAGAATGTTCTTTCTAAGAATAGAGAAAACGAGTAGACCGAAATTATTTCAAGATAAATGGCTGCGTCAAACGAACGATTGACGTACGTTCCCGCCACTCAGGCGCAATTTGCATTTTTCGGAGCTATCCGCTTCGCCGAACTGTCTACGGCCTTGATAATTCTACACACCTCCTCTATTTTCCTGTTCTACGTAGTAGAAGTTAAGCAAGCCAGTTTTAGGTCCCTGGCACGGGGCCAAGCCCGTTGAGAATAGCGAAATCCGAAGAGCATAACTTGTGGATAAACATCGGCGTTACACATGCTTCTCAACATCAGCGCGGTGCAGCACGTCGCGGCATCACGTTGCCTCCCGGATCGAAAAATCGTCTCTAAGGAACCTCCAGTGCGAGAATTCACCAATCTTGTCCTCTAACTATGCTGTCGTTAGCTTATTCCTTAGTGGGTTAAACAAAAATTTCGTGGAACACAGTTGTCATCGATGAACCATATTACAATTTTAATCGAATTTGGATGTTTCTAAACAATGCATTATGAGCATAACGATGTATGATAATTACAATTTCTAAAAAGAAGAAGCGACTGTACGAAGATGTTTTCAATGTTCTCTCATTTTCTAAATTATTTTCATTCATGGTAATTCATCAAAATTTATGAAAGAGATAAGTACGAGGATAAAGCAGCGTATCGACAATCAATTCTCGCAAGGGTCGCAAAAAATTGTCCCTCTTAATTAAAATAACGCATTAACGATTCCAGTTGGAGATCATACTGTGGCGCACGAAAGTATTGGAATAATTTCATTTAATATCGGCCAGCTCAAAATTAGGTTCACTTATTCATTCGTATTAAATTGATAATAATATCGTATTTATCTTTGTCATCTTTCCTTTTTGTGCGTTTGTAGAAAACGATTTATGAAAACACAACCTTAATTAAAGATTCGAAAGTCGCTGAACGTAACAAATTGAAAAGATACAGAGAGTCTGGGAATGCGATGCCGGAAGATAAAAAACAACGTTGACTGCACTACGATCGGAGACTCGCCGGATTCTGGTACATGGATCTGGTTCAGCCGAACGTATCGTATCTGATCCAAGTGAACAGTGTGATTCCCACAGAGGAATTTAACGCGCGGAAATGCGTAGTTGCTGGCCACGATGGAAACAGTAAACCAGATGGCCAGCCAGTCCTAGAAGATGAGAACCGAAGAAAATTGAAGATTCTTCCGAGGCATCTTCCTGTTCCTCTTATTTCGCGCGATTCTGCTGGAACATTTAAAAAAGAAGAATCCCCGAAATGCCAACGACAGAGCCAGGAACAAGTTTCGTTGCGACGATCGTTTCGACGAAATCCTGAACGATTTATCATCGACGACTCCGATTTAAATAACGCCGTGTGG